AATTAATATATACTATATGAATTTTTTTATTATTGAACATAATACCACTCCAATTTTGCAATTAATGTTTTTCAATATTAAAATATTTGCAGATTGATGGAAAAATTTTGTACCGAAATGTGTACAGTCTATTTTTTCCACTATATTATTGCACTAGACATGCATAATAAATATAATATTCCTTGTATGTTATATAAATTACTTTTATTATTAACTATAATGTCAACAAAATTTGTCAGTCATGGTTTTTTGGCCTTTAAGCATTTACAGAGATAAAACGCACAATGATAACCGAGTTCAAAAAATCTATTTTATATACTCTATTATATAATAATATTGTACTGTATATAATAATACTACTCGTACATTATATACATTTTTTTTAATTTTTTACCATAATGTCACTTAAAAATGTCAGTTATAGTTTTCGGGTACTTCAGTGTTTCTAAATCGAACGTATAATGGTGTATTCATACTTGTAAAATCTATTATATACACCATATGAAGAGCTTATTACTGAAAGGTATCTAAATCACTCGTTGTCAATATTTGGGTTATTAAAAAAAAACTGCTTTTCGTATATACTGTTGAATATAAGAACGTGTTAAGGGAAGTATTCTTACGATCTGTTCTTTTCTGCACTTTCTCAGTCTACCCTTTGAGCAAATGTTTCTAACTCTTAACTCTAGAACTTCAAAACATTGACTTATATGCGTTTCTGTAATGAGTAGTTCATATATATTATTAGCACAATTTAAATTTTTTTAAATTTGTTTTATAAAGAGGTTTTTGGAACAGTAGTGAACTACAACAACATAAATCCATTTTATATTATTTTAATTAATTTAATTTTTGGCTGACCATACAGCTGTTTCGAGTACTGCCAAATACCCTACATCAGTGGTCTTAAAAATAATTCTTGTATTTAATTATTAATGAATCATTTTTTGAGCCTGCAAGTGCCAGGAATCGAACTCGTGTAAATTTGTTTTATATTTTAAGTGTCGAACATAAATATACGAAATAGAACAATTTAACAACTAATTTATTAATTTGATAATTCATTTTGATTATTTCTATAACATATTATTAACCACATTTTTAGAATTTTAAAAAATTTTAGTAGTATTATATACACAAAACACATGTATGCAGGATTGCCAATACTATATATTCTTCTGGACTCAAATCTTGACTATGCATGTTGATGTATAGTACAAGAATATAATATTTGAATATAAAATTAATTACAATAAAATTTTTATTTTAAAATGTGGACTTAAAGCGTAAAAAATTTATTTCACTTCCAACACAATAACATAAACGATTTTACTTTTGTTTAGTATTTCAATTAATGTATAATTTTTTTCAAAATTTTTTTTTATATATAACACATTTTTTTTATTAATTACTAAATTTAACTCATTTCCACATATCTTATATTATTTCAAGATCAAACAAGAATGAAGTTTTAAAGTCCAGTTATTAACTTGCAGAAGTTGTTTTTTTTTGTAATTTTGTTTTTAACTTTTAAGCAAGTTCATTACCGAAGACTCTTAACGTATATAATATAAATTATTTAAAAAAATTATACAAGACCGAATATGTTCTCTTTTTAATATTAAACCAGTTTTAATGCGAAACTAACCGAATAATAGGCTCTATGAGGAGATATTCAATCTCGTTAATTCTAAAACAAGCTTAGAGTTTTTATACTGAGACGACGTTGCATTCGCAACTAACAAACGTTGAAGACTAACCTTTTAGGACGGCCAAAACTTACTTAAAACCATCAAATTTAAAAATTTTGACATTTGCAAAGAAGCAAACAACGATTTTCGATTCATTGTCAAAAAACTTAGTTCATAAATATCCATTTCTGTTTATGGCATTCATTTAAATAAATGTAGACTGAGATAAAACAAGTTATCTTTACCCGCTCTGCTTTTTGATGATTAATAAATAAATTAACATATGTATATAAATAAATATTCATACATATATTCCTATATGTAAAGTTCGAAATGATCGCAAACACTTGATTAAGTTAAATAAGTACATACGTCGGTCATAAAAGGTTACCCATATTATTCTAATTTTTATACCCTTCACACATTGGTGTGAAAACGATATAATAAGTTTGGTAAGATACTTGTAACGTAATGAAGGTGATAACAAAATAATTGCAGAGTTTTTTCGTCATCAAAACAGTAATGCTAAGCTAAAAGCCGCAGTGACTGCAAGCATTAGTACGAATATAAATTGAAAACTCAGCGGTGGCAGCGTCTCCATTTTACCCATTTGGTATTTTAAACAAAACATTTCAGTACAATGTTTAATTGATGCGATTGGACCAAAATTTCTCAGTAAATAGTAGTGATGTCTACTGCATTAAATTCTTCGTGGATAGCCAAGCAGCTATTAAGGCAATGAAATCATACTGTTCATCATCCGAAAATAGTCTAGAATGCAAGGAAGCTATGGCCAGACTGGCCTGCAACCGCAGACTCTATATGAACAGGATAGATTCCTGATCATAAAGGCATAGAGAGAAGTAAGACAGTTGATGCTATTGCTAAAACTGGCGCAAGACTTTCAGAGGACCAAACGAATAACTCAGACCTCTGAAACAAATACATAAACTCCTGGATGAGCACATGACAAGGAGAGCAAAGTAAAGGTAAAAAAAACTCATACCTATACTAGAAAAAGTACACAGAAATAAATTATTTTTTAATATGGTAGATCTGTACCGAAGTGTTCGAACTGTGAAACAAGCTAGTCCAGATTTTTTCCTGCATACAGTTCTTGAAAATAATAATTGTTTATTTTTAAAATAATAATTATTTATTTTTAAAAATTGGAAAATATAAAAATAAGAGATGTACAAATGTGTATACAGTATAACAATTTGATGCAGTACTTATTAAAGAGTGATACAGAGTTATTTATTTTGTTCTTCCTAAAGTAAATGTAAATAAAATACATTTGTGATTAAGATTTAATTTAATTATTAATTCGATATTGTTTATAGACGTTGCCATTTGGTGTGAAATACTACATCATTCAAATATCCTTCAATTGACATCTTAGAGTACTTTTCGGCACACAGCTGGCAACAGTCCAGCTATAACTTGATGGGTGTTAAAATGTCGAGAGATTGAATATTATTTGCATAAACATAATCCTTTGCCATGCCACACAAAACAGTTCAGTAGTGACAAATCGCTTGTTCTTGGTAGACACATCACTTAAAAGTTTGTCGGGCAATAATGTCACAACAGAATGTTATGCTATGTGACTTGTGGCACCGACTCGTTGAAATTACAGATATTCCAGATGTATATTTTTTATTTCCCAAAAAAAAAAAAAAATTTTCAATATTTTTTTTTTGCTGTAGGTGGAATGCATCGAAAGCGACAGTGTGAGATGTGAAGATTTACACAGCAGTGTGGAAACTTAATTTCAGTAATTATGGGAAAGAGATGGGAGCAGATACCCTTAATACCTAATGTTCTGGGAAAGTTAATTAAACCAACTTAAAACACCATATAAGTAGTACATCTTGTAATGAAGGTTTAAGCCCAGACAAATAGAAGAAGATAGGAACACGATTAATGAACAATACAATGAACACGAGAAAGGGTAGTGTAAGAATATTTATATTTTTGAAATATAAGACCAGTATTAAATACTTTTAAATGAACACAAATAAGATAAAATAAATATGATAATACAAATGATGAATTTCACAAAGCAGGTATTTACTTGCGATGTAATATGGAAGAGTTTGAAAATACAGTATTTGCTCTGTTAAAAAACACTTTTCTTTATAATAACTATATTGAAATGTAAACACAATTCCAAACGAGAACAAAGTTCTAAGATGTAAATACTAAGGTCATATAAGTTTTGTTTTTTAAAAAAGCTATATTAGATAAGCAGTAAATAATTAATATTTTTTTTAGTTTTAAAAGTTAATTGGAAAAATTTAGTACTGGTTTTTAAAAATTCTCTACTTTATAGTATCACTTTAGCTGACCGTAAAAATGCGGATTAACCCTATATTTTTATCAAAACAGAAATAGAGTATTTTATTTTATTATTTTAGTTTATTATTTATTTTATTTTTCATTATTAATTTATTAAAAGTTATATTAAAACAAATTTAAATAAATAATACAATTATTGTTCTGAAGAAAATGTTACAATTATTATTAAAAATATATATCTGTGTCATGTTTAAAAAAAATATTGCATTTATTTATTTAAAATACTTTTACCGAATTTGTGTAATATCACCACTTCTCTTAATAATTGAAACTATTTTTATTTTATTTTATTAATTTTTTCTTTATTTTGGAACTAGTTATATTTTTATTTTTATATTTGAAACTATTTATTTTAAATTCAATAAGAGTTATTGAATAGAAAAATAACTAAAACATAAACAGAATTTGAAAAGTATCTTTTTTTCTACAGATACTCTTATATCTGTCCATTATATGTTTACAGTCAATAACTGTAGTCAATCATTATAAAAAGTATAATTTAATTAAGTATTATATAAAATGAAATAATTACTTGTTACTAACTTAAGTGAAGAATTGCCTTACATAAATGTGAAGAAAGTTTTTTGCTTTAATCAGAAATAAGAGTACACGATCTATGAACCGAAAATCTACTGGTGATATTATTTCTATAGATTGAAAAATATGTATACTCCTGAAGACAAAAAATGCTATGTCGTTACTAAAAATTAAATAGATCGGTTAACATATAAACTTAATGGATGTACTCAAATTGATGCAGGTTTCTATTTTGAGTGTGTTTATTGTTAGTGAATTCTTTAAAAATTTATATGAAGTGTATTTATTGTTTCGTAAAACCGAAGATAATGGAATAACTTAGAACAATAGAATATTTAACAAAAGTGTATTTATAATATATAATGCAGTTAATTTAAATATTTTTTTTAATTTTTATAAAAACTCATGAATAAAAAAAAAACTAAAAAATAACACACAGTTTGAAAAATAAACAGCTGATAAAATCTACAAAAATGAATTTTGTCAATTAACTTAACACATAACTCTTGTTTTTACAGATATTCTTATGTACTGTGTATATTTATATGCAAATATATTTGAATAAATAACTGACATCAATCATTATAAAAAGTTTATATCAATTAAGTGTTAAGAGTTTTTTTTTACTGTAAAAACAGCATTTAAAAAAAAAAGAAATATAGATAGGAATATACTTCTTTCTTAACTTACTACTACATATTTTAACCATACTCGTATATTACAATAGCGATAGTATCTTACCGACGATTATCGTGATATACTAAAAAATATATTTTTTGTTGGCAATGTTTTGCACTGTACTAATTTAATTATAAGAGCATATAGCAGTAGATAATATTGTCACAGAAACAATCTATTCTCTAATCTCCCCTGGATACGCTACTGCAGAGAGAAAAATTTACCGAGAAAATATGTGAACTAATCAAATGAACCGAAGATTATTTTTGCAAAAAGATCTTTTATAATAAAATAAGTAATTAAATTAATGGTATAGTTCATCAGTGGTAAAATTTGCGAAATATGACTATTACTTATATGCAATAACACTGCCATAGTACAAACGTTGCAATTAAAGAACCTCGTAATATGTTATCATGATTTGTTTTAAATTAATATTTTTCTATTCTTGCTTAATATAAAAAGTGTTAAATATAAGGTATACTCCACTAGCGGTATAAAAAGTTTTCCAAACAAATAGTATTTTTTTATATACGAGCAATACGGTTATATGTGAAATTTCTTAGAAACTTTTACTTTCTTATAAAAGTTAGTATTATTTATTATTAAAAGTTTAAACTTGAAATCGCTAACATCCGGTACTGCGGCTAGAAGAGTCATATTGTACCAATTTCACTATTGATTACACAAAGCACTTTAAAGCTTTGTGAACTAAATCCAAAACTTTATCTAGAGAAGAGTACTTTAACTGTTCTGGTGACAGAAATTTCATATGAAACTAGCCCCTTCTGTGTGCTATTAAAACTGGAAAGTCACAAAGAATATGCATGGTAGTTTCCTAATTTTCGAGGCATAATCTGCTTTCCGAATTAACAGATAATTATATTTTATGAAGGTGATATTTCAGACCATATTACAGGTCACTGTAATGAAACCCGTTAACAACCATAAATTACTTTTTTGAGAATTTAAAGATGTCTTTGTAGGAGTAGGTTGTTATCAGTGCTTTGCTTTGTCTAAGTTCTGGGAAGTTTTCCCAGTACTCCAGCCGCATATCATTTTCCCTTTTCTTAATAATTTGTTTTGTACTGGCCCAGTTTATCCTACAAAAGGGTTGAGGGCCTGTAAAAGCAGTGACACCGCATATTGATTTGTGAGAAAAGTGTGCATATTTTGGCAACTTAAGTCATTTTTCTTCGAGATACGCCACTAACTTTTATATTCTTTACTACATTAATAATATGCATGTATCAGTTTTTACAAATAAAATTTGATTATTCTTTATTCTTAAATTTATTCTTAAATTTATTCTTTTTTTCTCATCTCTTATCTCAGATTCACATACTCGTTTATCAAACGTTTAAATAACTCTTAAATATATTTTTATTTCAGAACGAAGGACCTAGCACAGTGGCGTAACTACAGGGAAGCGACTGGAAGCAACGCTTTCGGGCCCACGAATTTAGGGGGCCCCATTATAAATTTATGTATTCATTGTATTTATTTTTAATAAATTCTCAAAAGTGGGACGAAACGATTTGCCGTATAGTTGTGCTTCAATCCTCAATTTCTATCGGTGCTATATTTAAATCTGCATCTACTCCATATTGCAAAATATTTCATTAACCATTAACATATACCAAATTTCATTGGAGTATCAAAAAGCTGAGTTCAAAAGCTGAGAGAGTAGTTTGAACTGAAAAGGTATATATATACTTTACTGATATATACTTTATAGTATTTGCGACGTTTCCTTTAATGCGTTACGAAAATCTGGACAAATATAATATACCCTTTTTACACTTTTTCGTGTAAAGGGTATAAAAAGATGTTAGTAGGGGCCCCTTAGTTAGTAGTTGCTTATAGGCCTAAAAAATGTAGTTACGCCACTGACCTAGCAGTTCATTTCTTTAATATAAGTTAACTTTAAAATGAATTTTAATGTTAACTCACAAATAAATAAATATTTTTATTTATTTTAATAATAATTTTGTATATTTACAAAATTTTATATATATTGCATTTATAATAAAATATAAAATATTTAACTAAAATGTTAAAATCTTATAACTGCAAATTCTGTTCCTGTAATCTGCAAATTTTGCTTAACAAAATCATAAAAGCTCTGTGCAAAAAGTTCTTAAGCTTGAAAGATGCTAAAGCCAACTTCTGTAAAGTAAACAAAATAGTTTTAGATATTTTTTATTTTATGAGGTTATTTTATGTGGACTAATATTTATTAAGTTTCAGTTTAAAATTAGCATAAATAGCTATTTGTAAAAACCAACGAGAAATTGTTTAAAATTAGAACCATACTGAATAAATTTAAAAAATTTCTCGCCATTTCCCAGCTGCCATTGTGCTTGAAATCTTTCTAAGTATATTCCTTGAAAAGGTTGCTTACAGTACAATAAGGAATCTTAAATTTAGTCAAAAATATTTTTTATAAATTATTATAAACTCAAATTTTAATAGTAAAATAGGTAATTATATAGATAACTTAATATGTATTTACTCCACCAAATAATGAATTTAATAAATATGAATTTATTTTACTTTTAAAACATTTTTGAATTGGTACATGTCTGGGCTCTGTTAAGTACATCCGGCTGTTTCTTTGCAGTACTATTCACACAGCAATGTTGTCATTTGAGGAAGAGCATGCGCATTGAGTAAGTTCCTATATCGATTTAGCAAATAATTACCATTATACAATTATTTTTCTTGAACAGCAGTATCACAACAATACAATAAAAAAATTAATAAATTAAATCCAAAAATGAAAATAATTTTTGCAATTATAATATTAAGTATAATCACTCTTTCCAGTGCTAATTTACGAGGACCGTTCTTATTATGGAGTCAAGAAGAAAATTTTAAATTACAAGAAAACAATTTAAGGCATTTCAGTGAATTTGATTATGATAACATTTATAAAAGTTACTATGAAATTATTATATATGTGCGAAATAATACAAATCGCTTGGATGATATTAACTGGCCGAAGTTTAAAAACTTAATTAAAAATTCCCAATATACCTATTGGCCTCAAAATCAACTTATTGCTGAGCCTTTTGACTACACCAATAATGTCACGGTAAGAACGAAGATTTTTTTAATTCGGTAACATTTGTTATATGTGAAAATATTCAAGGTTATAACTCTAAGTAATAATCCATTGGATGAAGATGCACAAATAGTTTCGAGTTTTAAAAAATCAAGCACAATTAATGGTATTGGAAAGGTACTCGGAATTTTAGTTTATAATAAAGAACCAGCACATTGGATATCAAAACGAGAAGTGACAGAAAAATCCACTACTACTATTCAACCACAAACAGATGAGAATGATAAGAGTTTTATTTACTTGGCTGGTGGTAATTACAAAATTTTTAACATAATAATTCATTAATATTTTTAAAATCACTATTTAACAATAGCTTTTATTATTTTTAGTTTAAAGAAAATAATTTTGTTTTAGTTATTATTAATATTTATTTTCCTTGTAGTGTTTGTGTTACCGTCATTTATAATATAGAGATTCAGAATATGAATTAGAAAATTGTAAGAATTATTTAGAGATAAATAAATAAAACTTGAGCCAATTGCAGTCCAGCAGGCTGTCTGATTATGACGATGGATAATGGACTGACTAAGGCTATAAGAATATAATGGTATATTATTATACCAAAGATTAATTTTAAGCGTTGCTAACTGAGTCTAAAAGCAACCGAAAGTGGTCTTTAAATATAACAGATAATAACTTATTACTGGATATGTCATATATGTAAAGATGTAACGGAATAAGAACTTACTGTAGTTTAATACCTTTGATAATAATTTAATATTTTTGCTTTAAAGAGCAATCGTTGAAAACGACTCCAAACTTATGAGTGTAGTCAAGTAGGTTCATATGGCCAGTAATCTATTAAAATGTGTTCGAAATAATATTTAAGAATAAAAAGAGTGCCTGTGGGGTGAGTCCTCTTCTATCTCTGTGATAGATCGATGACGAAACCATGATCGTGTGTATGTGCAGATATCTATAGCTATTATTGTTAGACCACAGATTTGATGACCGCTTTTTGTTTTAAGTGAATGACATTAAGCGAAAATTCATTAATTTTTTATTCGAATAACTACTTTTTTGTGCTATCGTGAGTTTTTATTAATGCAAATCTTAAAATGTTGCTTTTATTATTTTCTTTAAACAGTTATTTTAAATTGTTTTTAAATAAATTAGCAATGTGTATGTGTAACTTTAAATTAAAAACGTAAGAGGATATTACTGAAACCTTAAGATTATTATATATACATATATAAATAATACATTTATAATACTAATACCAGAAATATAGGTCTACAAATACAGTAAATATAATCAAAATGAAATTTATTTAGAAAGAAACAAAAACAAATTAAATAATGAGCATAAATACTATACTAAAAAATGCTCAATGTAAAGCTCACCTATACAATATTATAGTCACATATAAACTTATTTGTTTATTAATGAATGCTCTTTCTACATTGCCTTACTTTGTTAGTTCTATTTAATATAATGGTATACATTAAGACTGAAAAGTTTTCGGAAATTCTCATTTAAAATTCGCGCGCTGTATATTTTTCGATATTTTAAGTTTATGTAGTTTGGCAGCACTGTCCTTAATTACTATGCCAAAAATGAGCTCGATCTGTCAGACAGTTCGTTTACGGCAGCTGTTGAAACCAGTTCACCTCAGTAGTGCGTTGCGAAATGTCTTCGACGGTCGTACGACCGTCCTGGAAGGCTTTGTACCACTCATAAACTTGAGTTTTCGATAAAACTGATTCCCCATAAGCCTTTTGTAGCATTCGCAACGATTCTGCACACGAAATTTCGTTCGAAACACAAAATTTGATGCAAACTCTTTGTTCAATATTTTTTTCCATTGTTTTTTTCGCAACGCCCTACTGAGGTGAACTGGTTTCAACAGCTGCCGTAAACGAACTGTCTGACAGATCGCGCTCATTTTTGGCATAGTAATTAAGGACAGTGCTGCCAAACTACATAAACTTTTAAAATATCGAAAAATATACAGCGCGCGAATTTTAAATGAGAATTTCCGAAAACTTTTCGGTCTTAATGTATAATCGCTCTTGATAATTACATTGTGACATACAAACAGGTAACCAATTAAACATTTAACAGTCGTCACCGTGGTTAATAACGATCGATTTTAGAATTAAACTTTTTATTCTAATTATTTATAATTTTAAAACATGTTATCTGAAAATATTTATATTTTTTTTCGCTTTGCTTAACAAAAAATAAGCAGAAAAAGCAATATACATTTCTTATAGAATTCAAATAAGTGCAAAGAAAGCAAAAATAAATTCTTCATATGCGATGTCAAAAGTGAATAAGTGAGAGAAAAAATGTTTAATTTTATTCTATGTTCTATGTTTTGATATAAAATGTGACAATCCTAAACATAATCATCTAAATTTGATATTAAAATTAAATAATTATATTCGTTGGAGTCGTTTCCATTAAAGTATTACAGATTTAATTTAAGTATTCAATTATATTTAAAATTAGTTGTAAGTGGGATATTTCTCTTTAAAAATTTAATTTAATAAATA